TATATATATATATTCTAAAATGTAGTGTCATATGATCCTTCTGAAATCATTCTAATATGCTGGTTTGCTGCTTAGGAAACATTTCTTATTACCAATGTTATAAAACAGTTGTGCTGCAACCGTTTTTGTGGCAACCGTGATAATTTTTTTCAAGGTTATTTGATGAATAGAAAGTTCAGAAGAATAACATTTACTCAGAATTTAATTATTTTGTAGCAAATATCTTTACTGTAACTTTTTTTATTATTATTTTGATGTGTTCTTGCTGAATGAAAGTACTAATTTCTTTAAAAAAAATTAGAAGTGACACTAATGGGTTGTGCAAGCATGCACATGCTTGTTTTGTATTGAGTGTGAGTGAAATGCAGAAAAACTCAAATGTGTGTGTCTCACTGCTCTGTGGCTGCTCTGCAGATGGGTCAGACTCCAGGGATAAACCCAAACTTTACCGATTACAGCATAGCCTCACTGAGGTTGGATCTGACCGGAGTGAAGAAGGAAACATTCAGGTAAGGAAAATGCTTAAATGACCATTTCTGCGCAGCAGTGTAGAACAATAAAAGGTGAAAAACACATTTAAAAAAGCGTCCAACACATGCCTGATTTTTTTTCTGCACCGCAGCTGTTTGGGCCTGGGATTCTGCCTCACCACTGTGAACTGATGCATGAGGACGGGCTGGTGACTGTGACCCCTGTCAGTTTGGATGCTGAGACATTCGTGGATGGACAGCGAATCTCTGACACTACGGTTCTGCGCAGCGGGGTGACCGTCCAGTTCGGAGCCACTCACGTCTTCAAATTCGTAGACCCCAGCTATGACCACAGCATGTCCAAGAGAGACCCAGGGCCCATGATGAAGGGCAGACACAAATCAGGGTGAGACATTTTTTCTTTAAGAGCAGCCACATAGAGCTGAAAAGCAAATATAACCTGATAAGAATCACATTGAGTGTGTCCAGAAAGATTTGAACTAATACAGTTGTCAGTAGCCGACTACTGATCCTTTATTGACCAGCTGTGGCAGTGCAGCACAAGGAACCATCTGTTGTACTGTGTAACATTAGACGCAGTGATGGGGAAGCTTCTTTGAAACTATAGCTTGCCAAGCTACTCTTTAAAAAAGTCATTAGCTATACTTCAAGCCACTAACAAAAAGTAGCTAACTACATTTGAAGATATTTAATATCTTTTTTGAGGATCTTTGCTAGGATGACAGCATGAGAATGAACAGGTAAATTGATTCTAAATGCAACTAATACAACTAGAAAAACACTTCAGTTTCTATTTCTGAGTCGAAAACGTGTCAAACAGCAGCATTTAACTACAAAAATAATGTATAAAACACCTCCGAATTCTGCAGGTTAACAGGTGAATCATTCTTTTGAATATTTTCATTCACATGAACAGTGATCTGATTCACTTAAATGAATCTGACTTCTCGATCCTACATGAAGACCGTTTAGAGCCTGTTTATTGCATCATACTTTTTTCAGGATTCTTTAATGAATAGAAAGTTCAAAAGAACTGCAAAAGCAGCAAATTAGGAGTTTGAGGCAAAAAGTCATAGTTAATAGTTAGTTAATAGTCAGTTTGGCCCATTGACCAATTGGCCCCCAATCTAAAGTGTGACCTAAAAGTATTAATTTAAAATAAAAAATTAAATTAAATTTAAAAAAAACTAACTTACCACAAACTTTTGACTGTACTGTAAAAACATTATCAATTGTTTTAATTTAGGTTTTTAGAGCTCTAGAGACTTGCCGGTTCTTAACAGACAGTTTACACACATCAAAATATGATGAAATGTGGGTGAAGAAAGGAGTCCAAAAGGTACAGTAACAAAAACAGACAATTAAATTCTAAGAGTTGGAGTGAAGCTGGAAAGTGGTCATGAAAAGCTAAATAATGGCTTTTTTTTTCATGTAAGAAAGGTTGAATAAGTTGATGTCAAAATGCTTCAAAAGTGGAAAAATATGGCACAGTTGCTCATGAGATGTTTTGTACTTGTGGAGTCATTAGATGGCAGTCTTTTGATATCTAAGTGTCTCACTTTATGGTGTGTGTATCTGTAACTCTGCTGTCTCTCTGAACAACCAGTGCGAATTATGTTATGGGATGCTCTGCTACCATGACAACAGGAGTTTCACAGGTTTTGCACTTGGATTTTCTCTGCAGTGACTGTCCTGACAGATTTCTAGTGTTAAATGCTGCCTTTACTATGAGAACTGTTGGAAAAGAGGCTGGAAGAGTGACAGGGAGAGGGTGAGCGGAAGGTTATGTCGGCCACAGGCGCAGAGAGACTCTATAATCTGATCAGCGTGGGTTGGAGAGGGGTGTGTCCCTGTGTCATTTCAGAGAGAAACGCTGTGTTTGAGACAGGGCGGAGTGTAGTGACGCTCCCACCAACACACACTCTTCGCCGTACTCCACTGTTAAACATATCAGACAGGAGCAAGAGGAGTGTAGAGCTGTCCTGGTGAGTTTATCCACATTTTACACATGTTTCATGGAGCCTAAACACTCCGCTTGAGTGATCAGGTGACCATGAAGATTTGTTGTTTTTGTTTGTTACCAACAAACTTTGATTTAGCTTGCTAAATGTTGATATTTTTAACAGTACAATGTTTATTTAATCATAAAATGCTAATTAAAACATTTGTTCTTGTAACTCTTAAATATATAGGGTTGTTCTAAAACTTCCTTTATTTTTGATTCGTTCTGTATTTGTGGTTAGTTGACATGGACTTTTCATACTTTTATCTAAAAATGTAATTCACTATATGATATTTTATATATTATGTTACATATGTTTTTGAGGAAATGGTGGTACATTTCTTTCAGGATTCTTTGATGAATAGAAAGTTCAAAAGAACAGCGAAAAATTGTATAAAATTTTGTACAATTTTAAATATCTTTACTGTCAATTTTGATCAATTAAGTGCATCCTTGCTAAATAAAAGTATACATTTTTAGCATGGGGAAAACATTAGCATAGCCTCAGGATATGGGGAAAAAAAAGAGACGCTACATTGATTGCGTTTATTTTAAGGCGTTGAACAGTCAACATTAATTGCATAACACAAATTGTTCTCAGACCTCTTCATTAGTAATTGTTTATTCTTAGATTATGACCCTGTTAGAACATGTGAGCTTTCCCCCCATGAAGATTCATTATAAAGCTCTCCCAGAGTTTTCTTGTGTTTTTTTTTTTTTATGCAACTTTACAAAGTAATGTTGTCTGAGATGTTTGTGTGAGCTTTTATTCCATGCACATCCTATTGGCATGCATGTGAATGTGCAGTAATTAAGTCTGCGTTCATTTCAGGCCATTCGTCTGTAATGTCTAGGTTCAATTAGGTTCATTTCCTGCATTAATTTGATGTGAATACATGCCGTCTCTTAGCGAACGTGTTCGTAGCGGTAAGCAGAATCTCTAATCTGATGTCCTGATGTTCTGCTGGATTACAGCACTGCTCATTCCAGGACATGGAAGCTTGCTGATGGCAAGGATCAGACAAGGACTCAGTCCTTGTAATATCTGATTTTTTTGATTTGTGTTATGTGAAAACATAAACATAAATGCAATGAAATGTTCTATATACACTACCTTAGAAAAAAAAAAAGGTTCTTGGGAGGACATGTTTGACGTTAAGAAATTAAGTTGTTTATGGTTGCCAATGTGGTATCACAATAAAGGCTGTTTTTTTGTGGCTCAGTGAAGTCAGAACAATGCATTTTATAATATTACTTGTACTGTTTGGAGTTACATAACATGAAGCTGTTTTTGCACTGATGCCAGGCTTGATTTATTATCAGTATAATCATATATTTTGGTTTATGTCCATCAAGTTCCCAAAAAAAGTACTGTACTTTTTATTTGTAAAGTATTTGATTCACTGGATTATCCGAAATGGGCATTACCACATGGTTATTTAATATGTAAACTGTTTCTAGCTGGAAATGTCATGAATGTCATGGAAATGTTTGGACGTACTGCCCATTCCCAAGCTGCAGTTTAGATGTTACCTGGATATATTATGTCTCATCTGGATGCAAAGAGCTGGAAACAGCTGTTTGACAGCTGTTGAACACGGTAGCGGTTTGCTGCCTTCTAATCTTGTCATTTACGGTTATTTTTTTGTTGGTATAATTGTATTCAAACACTGTGCGGGTGTATCTTTAGGCTCATTTATTTAGGCTGGTAAGAATGTCTGTGTTACTGATTGTCTTCAGAGCTCATACACACAGTAGTATCCCGGTGTTCGTGAGGCTGTGAGCTGCTGCTTTTGTTTGACTTTCCATTCAGCTCAGGTTTTATGTAGCTGTGTGTTTTAGAGTGTATGGAGGTGGTTATATTGTGTGTGTCTGTTTGTTTGGCCACAGATACCGTTTACTTCCATGTCATCTGCTGAAATTATTAAACCCCCCTCCCCTTTTTGTGTTTCTCAGAAGTGTCCCAGAAACGACCTTTGACCTTCACGGGGACTTTCATAGTGGCTCTGCTCTCCCTACAAGCAAGGTATCACATCGGCATGTTTCTTTTGGATCTTTGTGCATGTGTTTGTGTGTGGTGTGACGGATCTCTAATGGGATATTTGGTGGTTTCAGAGCTCAGGGAAGCTGGAGATGGAGCGTTCAGGAAACAGTGAAAGAGGCCTGGTGAAGCCCATGATTAGAGGAGAACAACAGGACTTTAACAAACATGATGGAAGGTAAGAACTTAGCTGACTCTGTGTGCCTAATTTTCATTTTTTTTTGTCTGTAAAATTAAAAATTCCGACTTTCACTTTTTGAGATTTGAGGCCGTCAATCATTTTAAATATTTAATCACAATTCGTTCTAAATATTTCTGAAAGAAAACAAGATAAGATATATGTGTATTTATTCAGTTTGATAAATTATTTTTGTTAAGTGTCTCTACTGTTTCATTTCGTCCTGTCAGCCTTTAGTGTCCTGATCAGTTTTTCAGAATTACGCAAAACTGAATGAAAGCGTTATATTGTCAGATGTGTGTGTTTATATATATATATATATATATATACACACACACACACACACATACAGTATAAATATTTTTGGCTAATTTGTTCATTCTTTTAGTTAAAAATAAGAATGCAGTACTGTCAGATTAACACATTTAATTTCACAGCACATTTAATTATTATGTATTTTTCTAAGAATGTTTCGCAGAAAATAAAAGCATCATGTTGGGTTTTGTTCCAATGTTCCAAAAGAAAGAGGAAATAATAAAAATAATTATGCAAATTGACAATGCAAAGTAAAGCCAGGGGCATTTTTTTTTAGAAAGTAGTAGTTATAAAAACGATAATAAATGATTACTATTATTATTATTATTATTATTACTACTACTATTAAAAATGAATTACATTAAAATAAAAATCTAAATATTATAAAAAATAAAAATCATAATAAAAAAGTATTATTTTATTAAGTAAATGATCCTAGCCTTATTTTTCATAATTCATTATTATAATCTTTTTATTTATTATCTTTTATTTGGATGATTTTGATGTGATGTTGAAAATACATAATTCAGAATTCTGTGGATTTTGCTCTGCAGTTAGTGTAGAAAATGTGAGAACAAATGGTTTAGTAAATGACACAAAGCAATGCCATGTTCGTTAAATTCTCTGTTTAGTAACAGCAGGTTTAGTGCACATCAGCTATCAGTCAGCGAGGGTCTCTATGGAGTCGGTGCTGGGTATAGGTCTCTGTATGTAACCTAACCCTTTTCCTGTCTGAACCTGAGACACCTGAGCCCGCCGCTCACCTGGCTTCAGTCTTGTCATCAATAATCCAGTGGAGATGAGAACGCACATTCAAACACGCACAGCACAGTTTGGCATCTGTGACAGGATGTTGTACGGCAGGACAGGAGCGGGATCTCTGGAGCGGTGGGCGTCTGTAGACAGCGGTGTCAATCTGTCCTATCTTAACTGGTTCATCGAGCAACAATTCTTTCCCCGCAGGTCCCAGGACGGCCCAGAGCTCACTCTGCCGGCCAGCATCGAGTTCAGGGAAAACTGTGAGTATCACGTCCATCTGCAAAGCAAAACCAGTCGTTTTGTGCTGGTTTAATTTCCGCGATCTGACCTTAACTGGGTCGTGTGTTTTGTCTGGTGTGTGGTGGGTTTTTAACTTGCTGTTAAGTTTACATGTTTTGGCATTGGCTGGGTGTTGCAGACACAACATAGTGTTTCCACTTGACCTGGTTGATGGTGGCATGCATTTTCTTTCATTGGTTGTGTCAATTATAAAGCAAAACAGCCAGCTAATTATAGAAATCACTAATGGTTAGCTGCCTCAGATCAATGGATGGAAAGTATTGATCACTGCTAATAAACCCATTTCATCATGAAGTCAGTTCAAAATAAATTAGATTTTAATTTATCTAAATTCATTCTCATGGACTCATTCTGTCCATTAAAAAATTCTTAAATTATAATAGAATATATAATATATAGAATATATAATTGTCCCACTGTGCCACTAGGTGGCAGGAGTGAGTATTATGCCAGAAGGCAGAGAAGGAATTCTGTGCAGTTGCATGGATGGATTGGACAAAAAACAAAACAAAAACGGCCTAGGACCACTGGCACAACACAACCCTAAGTGGAAAATCACCCACTATATATTTCATTTGCATTTGTACGTTCCAGTTTACATATTTAGCTGAAAAATAAGCTTACGAAGACCTGTTGTTATGTTATGTGTTATGGTTATATGTTGTGTCTTGTCACGTTATTTTATGTGTTGTGTATTACGATATGTGTTATGTGTTATGGTTATATGTTGTGTCATGTTATGTGCCATGTTGTGTGTTGTCATGTTATTTGTCATGTTATGTATGCTGTTATGTTATGTGTCATGTTATTGTTATGTTGTGTCATGTGTTGTGTGTTAGAAAATGTGTTGTTTATATATTGTGTCATGTTGTGTGTTCTGTAATTGTTATCTGTTGTTTAGTTTCATGCTTTTGATTTGATATGTACGGTGGCCCAGTAGTGCACAACACAACGAAATCTCCAAAACACATAGAAATCGCCACAACACAACAAAATTGCCGCAGCACAACGGAAACAAGCCACAACACAACGAAATTAGCACAACACAATGGAAAAAAGCCACAACACAACGAAATTAGTACAACACAACAAAATAACCACAGCACAACGAAATTAGCACAACACAATGGAAAAAAGCCACAACACAACGAAATTAGTACAACACAACAAAATAACCGCAGCACAACACAACGGAAAAAATCCACAACACAACGAAATTAGTACAACACAACAAAATAACCGCAGCACAACACAACGGAAAAAATCCACAACACAACGAAATTAGTACAACACAACAAAATAACCGCAGCACAACACAACGGAAAAAATCCACAACACAACGAAATTAGTACAACACAACAAAATAACCGCAGCACAACGAAATTAGCACAACACAACGGAAACAAGCCACAACACAACGAAAATAGCACAACACAACGGAAATGGTCCTATGCACACAAACATAGCCTATATATTTGCTACTTTTTAACGCGTGAGCTCCTCTTTAATAATACGGCGCTTATTTTTAAGCGCTGTTACAGTTGAATGAGTCAAGGGATTTAATGCAGGGTCTAATGAAATCCAAATTTTGATATCCAATATATTTTCATAAACCCTTACATTTTCTATGGGACAGTACATTATATATCACCCCATATCATGGTGCCAATAACGGAGTGTTTATATTAATTTGGTTCAAATAACCAGCCTTTTTGACATATAGGCTATTTACACTAATTATGCTCACCAATGTGGCCACACAAAATTAAAAATGATGCGCGCCAGGTAACAGAGCAGTGGCGTAGCGAGTAAGGCACATAAAAGTAGCATAGTTAAAGTCCACCTTTTGCTGGACTCGCTCTTCTCCTTTTTCCCCCATCACATATCAGATCAGAAAGGCATTTACTTTCAATGTAGAAAATATTCCAAAAGTGAAAATAAATAATGTGCATAACGAGTGTTTAATAATGAACTATATAGGGGTTATGGGTATAGGTGTATGGAGGGCTTTATTGTCCCAATAGCGGCATCCATTTAATATTTTTTAAGAAATATAGTAATTTACTCTACATTACTATTGCATCCTGTTAATGTACAACAAAACTGAGGTGCAAACATCTGCCACTATATTCAAGATTCAAGATTCAAGATTTTTATTTGTCACATACATGGTTATATAGGGAATATATGACCAGCAGTGAAATGTAAGTCAGGGCTGCTCCATGGACAGTGCAATTATTAAAGAATACAAACACAAGAAAATTATATATAAATATAGGTATGGAAAAAGTCAGATAAAAAATAAGAATAAAATAAAATGCACAGGACAGTATACTGTAGGCTTAATAAATATTTAGATGAGCAGGAATATACAAGAGAAGAATGTGCAAACAGGTTGTACAGGGTAGTAACATAGCAGCAAGGGGGTGGGGACCACCGAGATAGCAAGGGACTCATATAGACTATATAGACTATAGCCTATAAATAATATCTAAGGACTATTTACACTTATTGCAAAGAAAATACAAAAAAAAAAAACTAACGTGCAAGCTTTATATAGTGGTAATGGACTAACCAAACCTTAATTTTGAACAATTTACTAGACCAATACCATGCCAATGTTTTTATGGACTCTTGAACTGGCACATATTATTACTGTTGAATTCATTTCATAACGCTGTTTCTCGCGGCCACGTAAACGATGCTTTAAAGCTCAAATTTGGGCTTCTTACCAGAGTTAATGGTCTAAAAATATTACTAATTTTAAAGAGCTTACTGCACTAGGATTTTTAAATGACACTTTTAAGTTCGCATAGCCATATAAATGACTTGGCTAATTAAAAAAAAAAAAATTGGTACTACAGTAAAATGCCCAAAATTTGAATTTCGTTAGACCATTACCTCTGGTATAGAGTCCTTAGTTTTAACGCATCCCTTATAGTGGCCAAGAAAGGGAGCGGGAGCATTTCCTTTGTGTTGCAGCGATTTCATTTTGTTGTGACTTGTTTCCGTTGTGTTGTGCTATTGTTGTGTTGTGCTAATTTCGTTGTGCTGCGGCGATTTCGTTGTGTTGTGGACGACTGGACCACCGTAGGGTTTCCGTTGTGTTGTGCTAATTTCGTTGTGCTGATCGTTGTGTGATCAGTAGCATGGAATTTACAGCACAGCTGACAAACTAAATGTATATGTGTAACTGCCATTTAAATGAATGTGCATGCTAAAATGTAGCTCTCTTCTGGTACATTAAAACTTGGTACATTCCCAATTAAATCTCTCTCTGCTTCCTCTATCCCATGATTTCCCCCCATAGCCGAGGATGCCTTCCTGTCTGCCATCATTAACTACACCAACAGCTCAACGGTGCACTTCAAGCTGTCTCCCACCTACGTGCTGTACATGACCTGCCGTTACGTCATGTCCAGCCAATACCGGCCTGACATCAGCCCCTTTGAGCGAACACACAAGGTCATCGCCATTGTCAACAAGATGGTGAGCATGATGGAAGGAGTTATCCAGGTGGGTGTTGACAATTTTTACTAGAATTATCTTCTGATAATAATAATTATTAATATTTATACATTTTTGACAATGCAAGTTGTGTGTAACTTTTATTATATTATAACTCTATTATTTATACTTTAGACATGTCGCTGTAGCTCTGATGTAGAGATTTGTCCGTGGAGTTACATTATACATGCTTTTGTAGTTGTAGTGTTAAAGCTAGTTTCACTCTGCTTTCATCGATTCAGGTCATTGCCTCAGCAAACAGTGCTTAAACTACTGCACTCAGTGTTTCCCCTGTGTTTGTTTAGTATGTGAATGTCTGTGTGTGTGTTTGTGTCTCTGTGCCTTGTTTTACCGGATTCATGCACCATATTTTCTTAGCTGCGCTTGGTTCAGCAGCTTCCGACAGTCACCAAGTGGCCATACTGAGATGTATCACTAGAAAAAGAAACAAAAAGAGCTTCTTGTTGCTTCTACAGGGAAAAGTGTTTGTATAGTACATTACCGTTTAAAAATTATTATTATTATTTTTTTTTTAAAGAAGTCTCTTCTCACCAGGGCTGCATTTATTTGATCAAAGATACAGTAAAAACAGTAATATTGTGAAATAATATTATACTATAAAATAACTGTTTTCTGCTTTATTATATTTTAAAATGTGATTTATTCCTGAGATGGCAAAGCTGAATTTTCAGTAGCCTCCAGTCTTCAGAAATCATTTTAGAAATCCTTTTGAAATGAAACTTTTCTTATTATTATCAGTTTTGAAAGCAGTTGTGCTGCACATATTTTTGTGTAAGCCATGTGATACATTTTTCAAGATTCTTTGATGAATAGAAAGTTCAAAAGCTTTTGTAACATTGTAAATATATTTAGTCAATTTTGAGCAGTTTAATGCATCTTTGCTGAATAACAGTATTGATTTTCTTCAGAAAAGTCTTACTGACCCCAAACTTTTGCACAGTGGTGTAAATATTATGAACGAGACTGATTATCAATGCATGAATCAAACTCAGTGAATCATGTTTTTTACTGTATCATTGTATATGGACTGATACAAATTCTACAGAACAGTGAAATTGCTCACAGTAACATGAACGAGTCGTTGTTGCTCATTTGCATAAAGTAAAACTTTTCTCAACTATCTAGTCACTGCACACGGCCTCATTGGATTGCCATCGTTCACTTTCATCATTTGGTCACCACAAATAACTATGTAAATGCCTCTTTACAGTTCAGAAATGAGGTCCACATGCTCTGTTTATTTATGTTCTTATTTGGTCAGCGCGTGCAGGTTTTGAGTGGCCCACCCAGGTGTTCAAACCGTATATCTCATAGACTGACAGAAATGTTCAAATGCAAATAGTTATTTAATAAATCGTCCATTTCCTTACTCCCTGTTACAAGACTTTAAATGGAGTTCAGTGTCTAAAATGAGAAAACAGACTGTCGTTTATATGAATGGATACAGTCGGTCTCTTAAAAAAAAGAAAAGCATTAGTGTCATAATCCATTTAAATGTTTATTTTCTTTTTCTGAATTTTTGAGAAATCCAAAATCTTAAGCCTCACATGTTTAAGGGCCTAAACTTAGAAAAAGAGAAACACAATCTCAGAAAGAGAGAGGGAATTAATTTTTTAAGGCTTGGTAGCAAAGCTGTACTCCATTTTTAAAATAGCAAGACATTAGGATATTCTTAATTTGGATGTTTTTTTTTATCTGAAGTAACTTTTTATCTACACAGATCAAAATATTTAGTAGGTTTGTCATTAGTCAAACCCTGATTGTTAACATCAGGAGTTTTAAAATCATAGTTTTCTTTTATAAGCATTAAAAAGGGCATGCATGAAAGGATGATCTACTCCTTAAAACAAAAATAACCACAATTTTCATGATTTCATTAGCACACTTACTCTACTGTTCAAAAGATTTTTTAAATGGTTTTTGAAAGAAGTCTCTTATGCTTACCAACTCTGCATTTATTTGATCAAAAATACAGTAAAGCAGTAATATAATTACAATTTAACAGAACTGCTTTATATTTTAATATATTGTATTATCGTAATGTGTTACTGAGATGCAAAGCTGAATTTTCTGCATTATTACTCCAGTCTTCAGTGTCACAGGATCCTTCAGAAATCATTCTAATATGCTGATTTGCTGCTTAAGAAGTATTTCTTACTAGTTAAAAAAGTAAAAAAAAAAAAAAGAGCATTTATCTAGTGGCTTGTAAATTTCATCCTTGGCATCACAGAAAAGCAGCTGTATCTTTAAACTGCACCATTAATTATAAAATCAAGTAAAATCACTCTAGATGACTCTGACGTCCCGTACGGCAGTGAGTGCAGGATGATGTTGTGACCTGTCCCGTGTGAGCATGAATGTCTATGTGTTTACATGCCTGTGAATTCTGTCCATGCCATGGCTGTTGTTGACAGTCTCTCTCTCTGTCCTGTCGAATGTCTGTCCACCCCCCCACCCCCTCTTCCCCCACACCTACTATCTCTACAGGAGATTGCTGAAGGTGATCAGGTAGGAGTTTGCACTGCTAGGGAGGCGTCTCATTCTTCCTGTTTCTCTCTCTCTGTTCTATCTGTCAGCTTGGCTCCGTCTTCCATGCCTCTTTTATCACCCCATAACAGAAAGCAAACAACCCAAGCCAACTAAGTAATCCCTCCTCCTACAGCTGGACACAGTAGTTCATAACCCCTCATTACGACTCAACATGGAACATGTGATACTAAAAAACAAACTCTAATTGCGGCAACATTTTAATTGCGGCATCTTCCATTTTTGACCTCTGCTTACTGCACTTCAGTGTGGATGAGAGACTACCCCATGTTCTTTTGCTTTGTTTGGAAACGTTTAATTTCCTTTTCATTTGACTTCATGTCTGTGGTTAACGTCATTGTTTTTATGGATGCGTCCTGTGGCCAGTATGACGTATTCGGGAGGGTCGGGGCAGGATGGGGGGTTGCTGTCGTCGTCATGTGGGATAGATGTGTGCAGGTATACACAGAGGTCCGGTTGTTTCCGGACCGTGTGTATCCCCTCTCTGTTGCAGGGATGTGGGATCCAGGGCAACCAGTCACCGCAGCTTCCCAGTCAGTCGTGCCTAGCTTGAGCTAACTTTAACACGTGAATGATTTCTACTCTGTCTGGACGCGGTGACTGGTTGTTGGAGGCCGGGAGGGTTCGACAGAGGCACATGTCTATCCTGGGAGTGCTACTTAGTGCTTTTCATGGCTGTAAATCTTTTCTTTGTTGTTTGTACGTCGGATTGTTTTGCTTTAGCTGTGTGTAACGGCCCATCTCTGTGCATTACAGAAACAGAAGAATATCGCCGGGGCTCTGGCCTTCTGGATGGCTAATGCCTCAGAGCTGCTGAACTTCATCAAACAGGACAAGGATCTGAGTCGCATCACGCTAGATGCACAGGATGTTCTCGCTCACCTGGTTCAGATGGCTTTTAAGTGAGTGTTTGAACGTGCATGCATATTTACGCTTAATGTTTCAAAACCTAGAGAGCTGCCATCCTATACAGCATATTTCAATTTATATTTGTATATTTATTTAAATATCATTTGCTGTATATAACATTATATTAAAATATATATATGTGTATACATGCTTAAGTAAAAAGTACACTTTTGAACTTAATTTTAATTTTACATTCTGGTTTATATTTAAAAATGTTAACTTTTTAATTAACTTTTATATTTGAACTGATTTTAATTTTGTGGGTATATATATTTATAATTATCTGTAAAATCTGTAAAATAGCACATTTGCACATTCATAATTCTGTATTTTCTCTATATTTTTTATTACTATATACTTATTATTTTGTTTATTTATTGTCTATTCCCGTTATTATTAGTGTTATTTTTCTTTTTATTACCTTAAATTATATGTATGTCTGCACTGTCTGTACTTTCTGTACTGGAAGCTCCTGCCACCAAGATGAATTCCTTGTGTGTAAACACACTTGGCAATAAAGCTCTTGCTGATTCTGAAAAAAGTGACGTGACGTGTAGCCAAATATGGTGTCCCATACTTGGAATTTGTGCATTATATATATATATATACATTTATTTGATCAAAAATATAGGGAAAAAATTTAATATTGTGAAATATTATTATGATGTAAAATAACGTTTTTCTATTTTGATATACATTAAAATCTAATTTATTCCTGTGATGCAAAGCTGCATTTTCAGCATCATTACTCCAGTCTTCAGTGTCACATGATCCTTCAGAAATCATTTTAATATACTGATTTATTATCAGTGCTGGAAACTGTTGTGCTGCTTAATATTTTTTTGGAACCTGTGATACTTTTTTTCAGGATTCTTTGATGAATAAAAAGTTAAAAGAACAGAATTGATTTAAAATAGAAATATTTTCTAACAATATACACTACAGTTCAAAAGTTTGGGGTCAGTAAAAGTTTATTCTTTCTTTTTTTTTGAAAGAAATTTAAATTTTTATTCAGCAAGGATGTGTTAAATTGTTTAGAAGTGGTAGCAAAGATTTTGTTAGAAAAGATTTATATTTTGAATAAATGCTGTTATTTTTAACTTTTTATTAATCAAATAATTGCAGTTTCCCAAAAAATTTTTGGCAGCACAACTGTTGCCAACATTGATAATTCTAATAATAAATCAGCATATTAGAATGATTTCTGAAGGAGCATGTGACACTTTATACTGGAGTAATGGCTGATGGAAATTCGGCTTTGCATCACAGAAATAAATTATATTTGAAAGGATATTAAAATAGAAAGCATTATTTTATATTGTAATAACATTTTGCAAGATTACTGTTTTTTTTCTGTATTTTTGATCAAATAAATTCAGCCTTGATGAGCATAAGATACTTCTTTAAAAAACATTACAAGTCTTACTGATACCAAACCTTTGACCTATAGTGTGTGTGTGTGTTTGTGTGTGTGTGTGTAAATTTCAGCTTTATTTCCATATCATATGAAAACAATTCATTTAATTGTAATTGATCATCACATAATTTAATTGTAATTGGTCAATTACAAAAGTGATTTGTAAAATAAGTTCATACTGTGTTCCTGTAACCATTGTCAGGCGGCAGGATGTGCTGAATGTAAGGAATGCTCTGGGTCTGGCTTGTATTGGCTGAGCTGTAGTTTGGGTGTATGAGAGAGAGTTACGGTCCTGGGGCCGGTTTTCAGCACAAACAATGTGGTCGGACCGCCTCCGTTTCCTTTAAGCACTGGAATGACCAGCTGAAACAACTGCGCTTTTGTGCGGTTTGTGAAGCGGCCAGGTCTCAGATTTATTGTGGGATTCTACAGGAAGTTCTTTAAGGCCTTGATGGTGGATATATGGTCACTAAGTAACGTGTTCTTGCAGGTACCTGGTGCACTGCCTGCAGTCAGATCTGAATAACTACATGCCAGCTTTCCTGGAAGATCCCGATGAACAGAACCCACAGAGGCCCAAGATAGGTGAGCAGAGACCCAGTCTCATGTTTTCAGATGCAGGTCACCTTTATTTATATAGAGCTTTATACAAAACAGAGCAGCTTTAGAGTAATAAACAGAAAAATAACTGAATCATTGATGCAAGCTTCTTCATATATGAGCCCAATTCAAATTGTCATGTAAAGCTGCTCTAAAAAGACGATAGTATCATTATTCAGCTCAAGTCAGTTCAGTTTTGGTTCAGTTCAGTTCAATAACTGTGTAAGATTCATCAACAGTTGCAGTTTTCGATATTGCATGTATTTCGATTAAAAAAACTAAATCAGAATTACAATTGAAATAGTTATATTGGACCACCTAGTGGTGGTTTTGAAACTCAACAGCAGATATGTTCTACCCCAAAGCAGTGATATCTTTCAGTTTCTTTAAAGGAACTTGCAACATCTTAATTTTTTGTTGTCTTGGTCATTGTAGAATGTTAAGTAGTCTTATTTTGATAAGTCTATTTCAACAAAATGACTTGGACAAGTGGACAGACATGCCCTCTTGATTAGAATGGCATCAACATCTTAAGCAACACAGAAATTTGCTGAAATGAACCAGAAACATGCAAAACATCTTAAGTAACATAGTAGCATGTCCAGTTCTCTAGAAGAGTGTTTCCCAACCCTATTTTACAAGGAACCACAATTTTAAATGTTGCACATCAGGGACCAACCACAGAAAAAAACATGTTCAAAGAGAATATAAAAAAAAAAAAAGATTAATTCTTTGTTTTTCAACCTTTTGTATAAATATCTGTGCCAGCTAACAGCGGTAGTTCATAACATTGCATCATTATAATTGCAAATAAAATAAATAAAAGAATGATGGTATTGTTTCTGTTTATACTGCATTAAAAGCCCTGACTTTCCACTTTCCACAGAGGACGTTCTGCACACATTAACGGGCGCCATGTCTCTTCTGCGGCGGTGCCGTGTCAACGCGGCCCTCACCATTCAGCTGTTCTCGCAGCTCTTCCACTTCATCAACATGTGGCTCTTTAACAAGCTGGTGACAGAGGCAGACTCGGGCCTGTGCTCGCACTATTGGGGCGCCATCCTGCGACAGCAGCTCAGCCACATCGAGGCGTGGGCTGAGAAACAGGGTTTGGAGCTGGCCGCAGACTGCCACCTCAGTCGCATAGTGCAGGTACCACATGCAAATATATACACCAGTCTTTCCCAGAGTTGCATTTATAGTTAAGCTATTAAAGTTGAGTCATTATAAGCTATAGGTTAAACTAATTATGTTTACTACACACTAACCAAACCCTTACAGACACATTTTGGCAATTTTAGATTTTAAATAAGACGTTATCTGGTCCAAATATATACTGTTTTTATTAAGAATAAAAGTAAGTAAGAATGTTTTGGCATGGTTAGATTTTAATTGAGACATGATTTGCCCCATTTATGAGCCTTTTTCTTGTGGGCACATCCACACAAAGAGGTCTTTCTGTTATTTTGCAGACATTTACCTCCACAACATCAGCAAAGCATGCATGTACACGCACAACAGGATTAGAATCCCTTGAGCTGTTCTGAGTTACTTTCTTATGGCTTTTCTGTTGTGTATATAATGATTGTTTTATTAGATGGTGGAACAGCATGCGTCATTTATAAAAATGTGACCTTAGGTTGTTGCCTGTTCATGCTTTCACTAATCTTTTGTTTTCCAGTATGGGGTAGTTCACAGTTAACATGGGCAACTTTTTCTCAACATCAAGATTTTATCTTAAAATGTACATGAATGTGTAAGTGAAAGTGTACTGTATATTTTGTTTCTCATGATCAGCGTTTTTTTATTTTATTTTTCAGTTTGCTCTTAAAAAAATGTTTAAAATTTGACCTTGCTGTCAAGTGACAAATTGAGGGTTTTTTATTTTCTCTAACAGCAAATTTAGTGCAAACAATCAATATATATATGTTTATATGTATACATAATTGTATTATTGTACAAACCAGCGGTATGCAGAGAACATTTGTAACACTAAAAGACTATATTAGTAGTAGTAGAATTAAGTATTATTAAAATTTATTTTTATTTTATTTTTGTTTTACTTTTATTTACTTTTTCATATTTCTAATATATACCTTTTTACCATAAATTTGTCTGTATAGCACAATAATACATAGACTACATTCTTTCTTAGAGGGAATTTTGGTAGTGACGAGATGGTACTTCTAGGATGTTCTGGTTTGATCAAAGGTGGCGCTTGGCCTGAAAGGTTTAAAAACCTCAGTCCTAGTTAGATGGACTATGAACCAATACATTACGTTATCGTAACTGTCCCTTTGTCTCTGTAGGCAACGACCCTCCTCACCATGGACAAATACTCCATGCAAGATGTGCAGAACATCAACAACACCTGCTTCAAGCTCAACTCTCTGCAGCTCAACGCTCTGCTGAGCAACTACCACTGCGCTCCTGATGAACCCTACATTCCTCCTGTGAGTGAACTGTCTCATTTTGGCTGTGTAGTCCTGGTCTGATGACATGTGTCCTTTTTGAGATAAACCGAACCAGGTGTTCTCCTCTTTCACAGTAGCTCTGCTCATTTCCTCTAACCTCAGGGTTTCTCATAATGTGACCTTCTTGTTTGATGTGAAATATTAAACTCATTACTTTAAAAGGTGCTGTAACTGATGTTAGCTGTTCTGGAACTTCTCCCAGACCGAATTAGATGCACCCCATCTTTCCAAAACTCACTCTATAAAGCGAAGTAGAGATGGAGGAGAAGAGCAGCAGCATGTCAAGTTTTCCTAGAGTTCTTATGTACCATCAGGATCATTGTCCCCTTCATGCTCACAGGAGCTGATTGATCACGTGGTGACTGTGGCCGAGAACACGGCGGACGAACTGTCCCGAAGCGATGGGCGGGAAGTACAGTTGGAAGAGGACCCTGACCTCCAGCTGCCTTTCCTACTGCCCGAGGACGGCTACTCGTGCGACGTGGTGCGGAACATTCCCAATGGATTCCAAGAGTTCCTAGAGCCGCTTTGCCAGAGAGGTATGGATGATAAACAGAATGCTGCCATTCTAAATTAGTTTTTAGAGCATTTGATGTCAGTTGCGGTGTGCACAATAAGTATCAGGTGGATGGTGAATCAGAGGTTGTTGCCTTTGTTGAAGGCTGACGTGATGCCAGTGGAATGTGGTTTGTTAAGGTTGTGTTCAACTCTCTGTTTGCTGCCATTCCTATCAGTATTTGTTTTTTTTTCAAGAGAGCAAGAGTGTGTGTGTTTTTACAGGTGTGTGACACAGGCAGTGAGTGGATTTGAAGTTTTATCATTTAGTGGATGTGTTCTGATCTGCTCATTCTCCTCCAGGTTTCTGTCGATTGACACCTCATCCACGCTCTCCGGGAACTTGGACCATCTATTTTGAAGGAGCCGATTGTGACAGTCACTTCTCAGCTGACACGTCAGAACTGGTAAGTTATTAAGCCATTTAGATAGATAGATAGATAGCTAGATAGATAGATATTTTTGATGTCAGTTGCTAGCACAGCTGTGTGTGTTCTGTCAAGTTAACATTCTCTTAGGTTTCAGCCAACACTAATTACACCACGGAGGGCAATATTTAACCATAGTGCCCAAGAACTGACTGTAAATGATATCTTTCTCCTCACCCTGAACACACAAAGCCCTTAAATGCTCCTCCTCCCCTGTAATTAGTCTATTTTAATGTTTCTCGTATTTTTACATAAGTAAATTTTTTTGTTACATAATGTCATAATCTTATTTTTTATTTATTTTTACACAATGTCGGTCGGCCCTACAGCAGACAAAGCTGGAGCTCGGAGTGCGTTTAAATACCACAGAGAAATCTGATGAATGCAGCTTGATCTTGTGCCAAACCAACCCACCCACTCCCACATCCTTTTCTTACAGCCATCCCAGGACCAATGCTTACCGTAAACTCACATATTGTACCTTGTTTGCAGTTTCTGGTCGTACTGTGCATTATTTATAACACATTATTTTAAAGAAAAAAAATGTTTATGATCAAGTGATCACTTGAAGCATTGTTCCTTGTTGACAGACATCAACTATACGCTGGGAAAAAATATTCACCAATAGCAAATGGGTATTTAGACACTATTTTAGATTACTGATGGAGCTGAGTTTCTAGTAGTCTATGCATTCATTAATTAAGATAGCTATGCCAGAAAATCCTTTTCAAAAGGAACATGCTTTAACAAAGCTAAAATTGCTTGCCCTATTGCCTATTGTAAAACCTTACCAAAAGCATCCAAGGACATTTCTTGCATTACCCATCAGTGTTCATAAAGCTCCACTGTGCTTTAAACCAGCTCTGCTCCCACCCCCAAAGCTGTACTCAACAATACGGACGGGCAGCATAGCTAAAGTTCCCTGTACAATGAATGCGTGCCATGTGCACCATTTACACTTTGGGGCTCGCAAAAGTAGAGGTATTGGCACGGTGCCTCTCTGTGGGAAGCTGGTCTCTTTCTCCCAGGCCTGGCCTGTGCGTAAGCGAGACCACTGAGGCCTGATGCACTCTGGAGCTGACACATGTGGCTTTCATTCTTGACTCGTCTCCAGCGCCCGCCGTTTCGCTCTGCGGTCGGCTGTGCTCTGAGAACCAGCAGTGGCAGAACCTCCCTAATTCTCTCTCCTCCTCCTCCTCTTAGCTCAGTTTTCTCTAGGAACAGCCACCAGACGCAGCTTCCAGAAGCAGCGTGGACCTAAAGCCGAAGTTACAATAGTGACCCGAGCCCCCCCCCCCCCCCCCCCCAAAACCCAAGTAAAATCCCCTGTCTTCTCTCTCTACAGCCAATGCGGAAGGAACCGGAAATTGTGACAGTGACTTTGAAGAAACACAATGGGATGGGCCTCAGTATTGTGGCAGCCAAGGTAAGAACTAATATTACTCCCCTTTCAAAGACTGTGATCTTCTTGCATGGATCTGACTGCTGTGGCAGTGATAAAAATTGATCTAGAGAGTAATTGAATGAAACCCTAAATCCTTGAGGGGGGCATTTGGGTTTTGGCTTAGAACTAGATCCGATTAGTTTGACAGTTGATGAGAACAATTTAAACTTTCTGAGGATTGGTTTTTGGTTTCTGATGTTGGTGGCTGCTGTATTCTTAGTGGTGGCATAGTTTCCTAGGCTCAGGTCATAACAGACGGTCTAAACAGGGATGTGCTTTCAAGAGGACATGCTTTTGTTTGATTCAGTCACAAGCTGGTCTGTGTGCTTGTCAAACATTCAGATACGAAATGGAATCATAAGCAAATCTTTCTGTTTCCTTGTCGGACTGAACGCTTTTCTAGTATGCTGCTTTCAGCAGAAGGAAATGTCTTCTGGGTCGTCACCCCTTTTACAAAATGCAGTCTATTATGTTGGAGTTTACAGCTCAGTTAATATGCTAAAATATTACATGTTTTGCATGATTCCACCAGTTAAACTTGTCAAGCATAGAAAGTTTCGATTCGTTTCGTTAGTTTTGATGTCAACATTGCAAATTAAGGTTTTGTTTATACTCTAAACTCTTACTAGTTTGACTGATATATGCTGTTAGAAAGTGCTTTCAGATCCAACATGGATCAGTTTATGATTTTACTGTGCAAGTAAATATTTCTTAATTTTTCAAACTGGGTTTTTCTCGGTGGGTTATATGGAACAGACAGTTGCAGTTCAGTAGACTGTCTTTCACCACTTTGATGGACAGAATAACATTTTTCCCACCAGATGTGCGTCAGGTTCAGGAACAGAGAAGAGGCAAGCAAGGGAGGTGTAGAGGGAGGAGAAGGGGGTTAACAGGAACTGTTCGTTTTCATAGCAAAACCTCCTCTTTACTGCTTCTATTTTCATCTGTGAGTGTCTCTGAGGAAGTATAAAGCTTGGTAGAGGTAGAACAGGGGGAAAAGAAGGGAGAGAAGGAGTGAAAAATGGGAGGAGAAGGAAAGGAGGAGTGAAAAGGGGTGTAAGGCATGCTCTCTGGGACAAAGGGGTGGATCTAAAGAGGAGAGTCGATTTGTCCTGGTGTGGAGCTGGGACACAGCTGGAACTGCGCTAAAACTTCACCTAACTGTTATTGAGTTGTGGGAGTTTCTCTTAAATAACAGTCTGGATGTGGTATTTTCTACTCTGGCTTCAGATATTTGCATATTGTGTTGAGCATGTAGCCCAGGAGTTGCTCCTCAGTAGACCTGCCTGCTTTTGAAACAGTTGGATAAGTTTTCGTGGACCGTTATTATTTGATTCCTCAGTTCATTCTCGACTCCGGAGCAGAGCGCAGCACCATGTGGTTCTCTGTGGTCGGGAGGAAGGAGCCGGTAAGGAACCACTTGACATGGAGTGTGTGTCTTTTTAATGTGGGAAAGTGAGCAAGTAAACACTGAGAGATTAATGGTGTGCTAAAAAGTCAGCACAGTGATTTTAGTTGGATTATAGTTTGCCGTCAGGATTGCACTTTACAATAAGGTTCAATTAGTTAACATTAGTTAAATCATTGTGTGTCATAAACTACATAAGGCCCAGTGTTCATAAACGTTGGTTAATTTTCATTCATAAATACACTATTGTTTGTTGTTAATTCATTTTCATTCAACTAATGGTCATTTATACAACAGAAATATTTTTAAAATTAATATATTTAAAAGTAAAAATAACATTATTAACGTTATTTCTTGTTTTGCTCATTTCAACTTTTTGAAAGATGTTATCACTGTTGCAAAATTGAGATCAGTTGATGACTTCAATCAATTTTCTAGGAACTGAAACATGGTGCTTTTGACTATATAGATGCCGGATGAGGACATGCACGCTTGCACACATTAATTCCGGTGAATGTTATCAAGTGTGAGAAAGCAAGGTTTTGCCAATGTAAACAGAGTCATGCGACCAGACTGCACAAACATGCACGTGCACATTGTACAGGTGGTAATTTTCTCTACTGGATCTCGCCACACATTAAAAACTATATCAGTTTACGTACAAAAAAACACATAAGAGTGACTGTATAGATAAAGAATAGTTTAGCAAGGTGCCTATCTCCATTTTGTCCTGTGCTAGATTGAGATAACGTTGTACTGTACGTTTCTACGTGTTCAAACTTAAATGTGGAAAAAGAAACAACGGTATCTTGTAATCAGAGTCACAGGCATAATGATTGCAAGCTCTGAACATTGAGTTTTCCACCATGTATTGCAGTGTTAGTGACTCACTGTTAGTGAATCACTTGTTGCAAACAATCTGGTGAGTCAGTCCAGCTGGATGGCCGTGCTACCATCACAGGGCTTGATATGCTCAGGCTGCAGATGTGCGATAACAGCTCTTCTGGGATGGTGTTGAGATTCAGAGGGAAGAACAAGGGAAATCCTGACCTCTGTACTTCACATTGACGAGTGCCTACCTGACATTTTCCCACGTTTCTGGATTCATTCTTCTTCAGCCCCGAAATGAGTTGTTGCCACAAGAATCAAAGCCTTCAGGATCGGTCTTCTGTTTTATTGCCAAACCTAACTTTTCAAAGCAAAACTACTTTTTGTTTGTTTGTGTACTTGGTTTGGAGCACTATAGCTCACTGACTTCCTTCTCTGTGCGCTTCTTGATCTCATGTACGACAACAATAGAAGGATGTGACTCCCATAAGCGAGCCTGGATTTCCAGAGGACTCGGAGAGTGGAGAACAGAATGTGAGCCCTGCACGGAGTCTCTGCAAACGTTATGTCTCCTAACCTTAATTGATATGAAGAGAAACCAGTATGGCCACCCACTGTTCTAGGTATGCAGGACTTCTTTCTTGTGGTTTGGGATGAGATCTTTTGATGTTTGTGGGTGCAGCCCCTACCCAAGAGCTAGTTCACTTCAGTCCTCAGGCAAAATGAAACCTGACAAGCCCCTACATTTGTCTAAATAGAGATGCTTCAAGCTGTCAGCTTGCGTTCATCAAGATGATCACATTTGTGACATTTCGTACCTTGACTCTGCATGTCCACAGAGCTGAAGAGAAGAGGTAGGGAATTATAGACACTATTTTCTATTTATAAGTTTACAGATGTGTCTGTCATTCAAGAAGGGCTGCAAGATTTTAGTACATGAGAGGACAATCCCAAGTTGTTAGTTAGGAAAACTTGGGGGCATTCTTATGTTTGAAACAAAGGATGTCAAGCTTGCACGTAAAACCAAACTCTTAAATTGAGTCGTGACTCATGTCTTGGACATAACTCTGTCCTTTTACAATAAAATATTCATAGGAGAGACATTTCCCTTGTGTCCAAACACTGATCTGTCTTCTAAATGCACCGCCAGCGGACCGTGAAGGAAGGCAGACCTTTTTGTTTGTCTCTTTCTTAACTGAAGCAAGCAGCCCAAGAGTCTGCAGATCATTAGAGCCGGAATGGAGGCCACTCAGACGTGATGAAGACCATCGGCTGAAAGCAGCTCATTATTGAAAGCCTCTTGTGTTAGTCATGATATTTTGCACCCACCATTAGCCGACAGCCTCAGCAGTCCATCTGTCTTCCATCCGTCTAGACGTGTCGGTAAGGACCAGCTACATTCAGGAGCAAACTACTGTCCTGGCTGCTTTTTTCCTGACTGCTGTGTTTGTTGTGGGTGATTAATCGGGGCAGGAAATGATGATGTCGGGTCAAATTTCAGTGAATAGATGTATTTTCTGTTTTCCTAGTGCCCCGTGGACTCCATCATCTCGTTCAGAGGTCAGGCACTGCCTTGACTCCCTGGGGCTGTTAACAAATTACACTTGATCGTTTATGCCTACACGTGCAGCTCCCTGAATCACATCCACAACCGTAAGCCTTAAACAGGAAGCTGTGCGTTTGGCATACGGGTCCCTATACGCCACAAGTGTTTTGAGACTGAAGAGGGGGGTGTGAAGACTGAAGTTCAATTCTACCTCGGTTGGAAAGCACTCATCTTGCCTAAGCTGGGTTTCCAATTTCCTGTATTTGCACTGGCAGGTTTGGGAAGCTTTTCCGTGGACAGGAAGCGCCAGGGTGGGACCTCGAAGCTGTAGACTTTGTTTACTTGCTTCCATGTGGTTTTAGGACCTTCAAAGGAAACTAAGTTCTGTGGTTTGAGCATCTGCTCCAAGTACTGTTATCAGTGAACACCTTCAGACTTCAACACCTTCCTGTTAATGTCTAATGTCTGAACTGCAGATGCAAGCATATTTTTCCATACCGACTGTGCCAGACAGCAGCTTGCAGGGTAAATATGTGATTGAACTGTGTTTTTTGTGGTATCCCGTTGTGTGTGAAGAAGTTCTTGTAGCCAGTGCTAGGCCTCAAGTAAACAGACTCAGTTCGTCCCCAAGTTTACTGACCTGCTGCTGTGAAGAAGCCTGCAGGGATAAAGGTTTCTATTTTTGCTTTTAATGAGGCATTTAGCTCCTGTAAAACATTGTTTACAACACAAGATGTGTTCACATATTCACATTTGGATATGTCAAGACATCTATTAGCCGCACAGACATTATAATTGTCTTTGAGCTGTGCTCCTGGCAGTGTCCAAACAACCACACCTAGAACACAATCCATCCCACACCACACGCTCAGTGACATGCACATATCTATCTGTCTGTCTGTCCGTCCGTCCGTCCGTGTTTACCTGTCTGTTATGTCTCTCATTTATCATTTTATCTTTATCTGTTCTATTGTTTTTATATCTGTCCAAGTGTCCATCTATTTAGCTGTCTATCTGTGTCTTGTTTTGTGTATCTGTCTTTTGATCTGTCTATCTGTTTTTCCATCTATCGTTCTGTCTGTTTTATCTTTTGTTTATAAGTCTATCTGTCAGTCTATTGTTTTGTCTTTCTCTCTGTCTGTTCTGTCATTTTATCTGTCTTGTTTTGTCTATTTGTCTTATTATCTGTCTATCATTCTG